TTTAGCTGCTTAGACTCCATCAGTTACTCCAACACACGCTTGGGTCCCCAAGCTTTGGCTCTTGCCAACCTACGCCTAATAATTTCCGGAATTAGGTAAGCAGGATGCCTCCCTCCAGGGAGAGAGAGAGAGAGAGAGAGAGAGCGCATCACACTCCAACAATCTATCTCTGGGATTTCCATGTGTAGGTGGGATGCACGGAATTCTCAGCTTGGTTTGGAGACTCTTAAGCAACGGTGATGGGTTTCCGCGCGTGCCTGACCCCCGGCTGACCAAATAAAGGGTAGAATCAATGACTGATTCAATAATATCTCAGTATCTCATAAGAGGAAGTCCTTATTATGTTTAATTGCAATACATCCGTTTGATACAGCGCCTTAAAGCACTTCAGTTCTTCCTGTAAACTGTAGAGACTATTTCTCGGTAAATTTGGCAACCAGTTTGTATACCAACAATAACCCACAAACAGCCATGTCATGACTGACCAATATTTTTACCTGGGATGGTTGGTTGGCCAGGAAGAACTCCTTTCTCTTTGCGAGTAACACCGAGGAATCTTTCACATCACCCCGAACAGGCAGATGAAACCTCAGCCTAACTTCTCAGTTCACTGGAAGTCAGCCCAGACGAATAAATTGAAGAATTATTTTTTTTNAAGGCTGCAGCGATGATTGTACAGCAGTAAAATCCAGCTTTCAAGGGAAGGGGACACCCATTTAAATCTAAATTTAGAACTCCCTCACAATTCCCTCATTGTCAAGACAAGGCTCTCGATCGTAAATTAGAGGCAGGTTATAATGCTAGCAATATTCATCATGGTACGGTTATAGCACATGTGGTTTTCCTCAAACCACATCACAGTAACATCTAAGTCTGCCTTGTTCCATAGTCTAGTTTGCGCACGAAATACAGTCAATTCACTTTACAGTATATTGTGAAGTGCTTTGAGATGTCTTGATGATGTAATAAAGCGTTATATCAAATGCAATGATAATTATTACTCGTTTCATGTAAATTACAAAGACTGCCGTGAGCGAGCAGAAGAGCTGAAAACGCTTCCCCTAACCCCCACCCGAAATATAAACTCTGTTTTAAGAGTAACTAAGAGAGAGCAGGAAGAAAAAGATTATCTAAACTATGTGAGTTTTACAAAACTGAACAAGAATTTGAGGAGGGGTTTGAGGTTTGACAAAGATCAACCATTCTTCTCTCTGGCTTTTTTACTCTCTAGGTGAAAAATAAATCCTGGCCGTTATCCCTTTGCCAATTTAATTTTACTTTAAGGTTAACTCCACAGAAAGTACTGTTATACAACGCTACCCAGCCTGGGTGTGGTGTGGTGGATAAGAACTATCCAACAGCTGCCTTGACATCTCACTACTTTAGTAGCGAGGTACTGATCTATGCAAACCAGGAAGATGTTAAGTTGGATGTGTTGTTTTTCCAATAAGACGTTGAATTGAGGTCCCACCTGTGTCCATTAAAGGTTCCAGGACACTAACCAAAGAGAAAGGAGTTATTCCTGGCCAACAATCCTCCTGACAAAACTTGACACAGGGAGAAACTCGCTACTCTTTTCCCAACAGCATTTTAACATCCACCTGAAGAGGCATTTAGCTCCTTGGTTCAATTTCTCATCTGAACGATTGCATCTCGACAGTGCAGTACTCTCCGAGCAGCACTTCATTGAGGTGTGTCCCTAGACTTGGAGCTCAAGGAGTCTAGACACGGGGGCTTGAACCCACAACCTTGTGACTCAGAGGTTAATCATCAAGAATGCGTGATATGTAGTTGATCAAATTAAGAAATAGTTGGAAGAAACTATTTGTTTAATAATAGCCCGTTGACTTCATTTTAAGCTTTGTAATGTGGCGTCTTGTTAAGACTCGATTGAACAGACGTAGAACACAGTAGATTCACCTCAGCTGTGGGACTCACCTGCATGTGTGTATAAGTCAATGGGATCACAAACCAGTCACGTCTCCTGATGTCCGCTGTTGCTCCATGATCCTCTTGTCGTGTCGGAGTGGCCGATTTTCAGCGATAAAGTGCGATAGCGAGTGCATCACCTTGACAAGACTGTGAACTGGTTATCAAAAGGTCTTTACCAAGATTAATAACCGTGTGTGTTTATGTGCGTCTCTGAGTGTGAGCCCATGTTCTACCATGGAATGCACTGCCTGAAAGGGTGGTGGAGGCAGATTCAATAATAACTTTCAAAGGGGAATTGGATAGGTATTTGAAAAGAAAACAAATTGCAAGGTTATGGGGGAAAGAGCGGGGGAGTGGGACCAGTTGGCAGCTCTTTCAAAGAGCCGGCACAGGCACGATGGGCAGAATGGCCTCCTTCTGCGCTGTAAGATTCGATAATTCAACCACACATAATAGAAATGAACAACAACAGAATGACATTTATAGAGCGCCTTTCACCTCGGGAGGACGTCTCAAAGCGCTGAACAGTCATGGGGGCGGTGTAGGGGTGAGGGAAGGCAGAGAGGTGGGAGGGAGACCAAAGGCACGGTCGAAGAGAAGGGTCTTGAGACCGGCCTTGAAGGAAGCAAGGGAGGAAGCGAGGCCAAGGGACCATGGGATGGGGTTCCATAGTGTGGGGGCAGAGAGGCTGAAGGGTGGGGCGAGCGGGAGACATGGAGCAGACCGGTGCCTGATGAGCGGAGGGAGCGGGCAGGCTCGGAGGGAGTCAGCAGGGTCAGAGAGGTAGGAGGGGGCAAGGCCATGGATGGCCTTGAAGTACCATGCATGTATTCATTCTCTCCCCACCACCTCCCAGACAGACACACATTGCTGTGTAAGCGCATGTTGCTGTGATTGCATTGTGGAGTCCTGTGGCATATTGGTTAGAGCACTCACCTCGCAGACGAGAGGACCTGGCAGGGCGAAACGTTATGCAAGTTTCCTAACTCCACACGGCTCTGTTTACCTAGCAGTAAATAGGAACCCAGTTGTTAGTCGATTGGCGGATTGTTTTTCCGGGGGTAATAATCCCTTAGGAAAAAAATAACGATTTGGCCACTTAATCCACGACTGTTTGTGGGGCACTGCTCTGCGCGATTGGCTGCTGCGTTTCGCACACAAAATATAGTGTATCCTGTGAAGCGTTTTGAGACGTCTCGAAGACGTGATAAGGCGCTATAACAAATGCAAAGAATATTATTATTATCACTGATTAATCACTTTTTCGTTTCCTCCCGATAGCAAAGCAGAGACCAGCAGCTCATCACAGCTAGAAGAGGCACGGTTGCCAAGTGGGTAATGGCTTCCGCACAGCAGGCCAGCAAACTCAAACAGCTCAACAAAGATCCCGTTCGTCTACATTTGCTAACATTCCCCGCTGTTTGGGAATCGTCTTGAACGAGGAAGCAGTGCACAGCGAGGGGTGGGGGTGGGGGGGGGTTCCCAGCAGAATTAGTTTTCCAACATTTCCAGGAATGAAAAAAAATCTAGGTCACCGGCAGCGCAGTTCACTCGAAATAATGTTGCTCGCAATTAAAAAAAAAGATCAAACGAAGCGAGAGGAAAGATCTTATTCCCAAAAGATGCCAAATCTAATTCAAAAGGCTTCATTTATCTCAAGTAATGAGAGGGGGGGAGGAGGAAAAAACACACGTCTTAAGACAGGAGGCGACTGAAATCAAAGAGAACAGATGACAGTTTTTCCCACTGTATTTCCAATTACTCAAGACAGAATGGAAAATAACCAAACAGCTCAAAGCATCCCGTATTTTACAAAAAAAACACATTTCAATTTCTTCTTAAAAAGTACAGCAATCTAGAGATGTGTAAAACTGTTAACATTTCAAGTGGAGTTTTGACGAATAAGGGAACCATGCATTTTAAAATGCACTCTCCCCCCCCCCCCACCCACCCCGCTGATCTACATATGTACAGTACTTTGTCACACGTCAAAAGTTGAACGTAAAATCTTCAGCATAGAGCAAACAATGTAGTGTAAGCCTCACGCAGTTGTCCAGTACTTTGGATGTTGAAAAGCATGGAGTATTTGGATGATTTGTGTGTGTGCATGTGGGGGTGGGAGAGAGAAGTGCTACACGGGTGAAGGGGTCTAATACGCGCAATATTTCTTATCCCGTCAAAATTCCTCGTGGGATGTCTGCTCCAGAAGTGGATCAAGTCGGAGTGGTGTTCCCATAGGTTGTGAATTTCCAGGTACCAAAAGGAATGTTTTTTTTCCAACGGCTCTGTGCCTTATTAAAGAATCCTACTTAAAAAACACAAATGACGTCCAAAGCTCTCTTGCGAGGCAAATGCATGGCCCACTGAAGTTTTAAACATCTCCTTCGGCTTATCGTTTGTCGTCCAGTGAGCAGGCACTTTTACCTCCTTGTACTCTTAAAAGTTTGTGAAAGTTTGCCGCAAGCAGGCTAGCCATCATCCCCCGCTGTTTGGGAATAGTGTTGAACGAGGAAACGGTGCCAAAAGTTCGGCAGCGACTTACATTCCCCCATTGGGTTGCCAAAAACACTGCCTTCCACAACGACGCAATGAAAGATTTGTTCAAAAATATAATACTGGTTGGATTTCCACTTTGGTGCCACTTTCCCCCACACCCCACCCCACCTTCACCCCAAAGGTGCCGTCTCTCTCTGAGCCACGACCCCCGCCCAAAGGCAGAGGCTTGTCTTCCAGTTTCTGTTCACCTGCAAGCCTCAGTGAGTATCGAGCAGCAAGGTGACCCTTCCTGCCTTGCGAGCAGGAATGGGGACTCTCTCTCTCTCTCCCTCCCCTGGATTGATTTCACTCCCTCCTTCTGTAACTCAGGGGCACGAAGGCAAAATATAGCCCCCACAACTCGCTTCCCCCGATTGAGACTAACTCCGCAAAGATTTCCTGCATTGTCGGCCAGACTGGGTGCCAGGCTTTTACTCACTGGGCCAGTCGTTGGAGGAACCCCAGTCGGGTTTTGAAGACTCAGTGGACAGTGTTTGCTGTCTCCTGCGTTATAAATCGCCTGCTTTTTTTTGGGGCACGACTGAATTAGAAATACCAGCGAACTTCCCGAAAACCTTAAAAACGTAGATTTAAAAAAAAAATCAATCGTTGCAGATTGGAAAACCAGACTGTTCGGAAAGGAGTGAACAGTCCTAGAAGCATGCAAAGAGGTACAAGTTCTCTGAACAACGAGCCTTCAGCTTTTCACGAAACGTGGGTGATATCAAAATAGCCGAGGGTGTGTGTGTATGTGTAAAGGGGGGGGGGGGGGGGAGTTCAACATTTCTGAAGCAACACACGCATATACACATGCTCACACATACGCGGAGGAAGAGATCAGTAACAAGAAGTCAGTTTTTTTCAGATAAAAAAAATTGGCAGGTCAGGGTATCACGGGATATGGGGCAAAGGCGGGTAACTGGAGTCAGCCACGATCTCATAGAATGACAGGAACAGGACGGGCTTGAGCGGCTGAATGGCCTCCTCCTGTCCCTATACGTGGAACCATCCCTTTTGTGCACATCAAGGTTTCAGCGTTGAAAGCCTCGTGAAGCTATTTTGAAATGGTTGATCAGAGGTCTCCTGGGTTGACGATGCCATCACTGGCTGGGTTACCTCAGCAACTGCATCCCATTAAGAAGCCAAAGTGAGCTCATTCCAACCAGATTCCCTCCACCGGGGTTTCTGAGCTTTTTTTTCCCCTTACGCCTCAAATCCCTTGGCGTTAGAGGCTGCTTGCTTTGCAAAAAAAACACACACGCACACACAAAAAAATTACGCGCTCGCTTTGTGCTGTGGCAGTGTGGAAATCAGTGTTAAGTTTAGTAAACTTTTCTGTTCGCGTCGAAATCTTTTTTTAAAAAGTTTCTTAAAGAGGGATAAAAGAGAGGGGTGGGGAGAGGAAAAAAAAAAAGCAGAAGCCATTCGAATACAATTTGGTCGCCAAACACAAATGAAACACAGATTGTCTATGGTATTACAATAAAAATAACACGCTTTCTTCCTTAAAAAGAGGTTAATTGCCTTTTTTTAAAAAAAAACACACACACGCACACAAAAAGATCTAAACTAGTCGCGGTAACACCTAAGATATTTAAATTAAATTAAAAAAAAAATTCAACCATTGATTTGTTGCCACTAGTGTTGCTTCCTGGCAGGCAGCTCCTGGCACCTGTACACACGGACGTGATTGTAAAATCTCCCGAGTTCCTCACGGCACAAACTGGCAAAACAGTGCGTCATCTGCAACAGTGGAGTAGGAAAGCTACGCACAGGTAGGACACAAGAGGTGGGGAGGGAGAGAGGGAGCAGAGGTGGTGGTGGAGGGAGTGGGGAGGGAGAAGGGGGATGAGGAGGGCTGCACACAACAGCAAATCAACCTTCAGTCACGTGCTGGGCTGTCGAGAGTGATAGTTCGGGAACGGCTTTAACGTACTCGAAAACAACACACATACACGCGCGTGTTCGCGCACACAACAAAACCCCAAACGCAAAGATGACAGAGGATCCCTTCTGTCCGCCCGTCGGAAATGGAAGCAAATTTTCTTCTCCCTCTCTCTCTCTCTCCTGGGCAGTCAGAGGCAGTTCCGGTTGAGAATATCCGTCGATTGATCGCCACAGACGTTGGGGGTGGGGGGGAGGGCGTGACCCCGCAGTGCACGAGATGGCGGGCAACACGCGGGGGGCACTCCGCAATACCTTGACGTCTTCCTGAACCTTGTTGCCCCCTTCGCCTCCTCCCCCACCCTCCCTCTCCCCTTCACCCCACCCCGACCATCAGTCACCTTTCCATTTCATTGCCTCCTGTCCTCTGCTTCTTGTCTCGAGAAAGCCATTACAACGTCCTCCGCTCCTACAAGGTTTAAAAGAAATGACCATGATTTTTCTTTTACACAAAATAAATGAATACATTTAGCACAAGAAGAAACCGGGGAAACATGGCAGGTTGGAAGCAGTGCACTACGTAAGCAAACACGTAAACAAATCCACGACTGTTTGTGGAACACAGTTACTACACTTCACAGTATATCCTGTGAAGCGCTTTGAGACGTCACAACGACCTGATAAGGCGCAGTATCAAATGCAAGGATCATCATTATTATTATTATTGATACACCCGTTCTCTTTCTAGCTGGATATCAAAAGAGAGAGATTCAGATTAATTATAAATAAAGTCTCAAAGTGCTTCACAGGATTTACTGTGAAGTGTAGTGACTGTTTATTTTGTAGGCGAACTCGGCAGCCAATTATGAACATCAGCAATGTCCTATGGCAGTGAATGGCCAATTGCACTTGGGAGATTGATGGTCAGGACATCAGGAAAAACTCCCTTCCTCCTGACGTGAAAGGCGCTATACAACTGTAATGTGTTGCTGTTGCTCAGTCTGAAGAATTATTTCCTGGTGCTCGTGCTCAAATCGTCCTTCACGACCCTGGTGTTTCCTGCTGCCTTCCTTCGCACATGAAAGCACCGCTTTAAAGCGATGACGCGAACAGCGCTATATCAAATGCAAGATTATTATTATAAAGTTCTTAAGTGTTGCTGCGTAATCTTGTTGTTGTTGTTGTGTCTTTCTACAGGAGAGGGTGTTCACTGATGGGAATTGTTGCTGCAGTGACTCCAATGTCTCGATGCATAAAACCGGTCAGTGTCTACTGAGTTGGCACAAATCTCCAGAAAGGCTTCACACTTCTTGATCCACGTGGGTTTTAAAATGTCACTATCTCCTGAAAACCAGATTGCAAATCACTAGAGATAAAGAGTTGCATTGCACTCTTTCTACATCGTTAACTTGCACCGTTTGCTGCACTTGAAACCCTTTGAAACGCTATATCAAATACAAGCATATTATTATTATTACTGTCCTGATTTAATAGGGTGGAAACCCTCGATTGTCCAGCACCTTGGGACGTCCTCACGACATGAAAGGTACCATTAGAAATGCGATTTGTTATCGCCCCCTTTAAATATTCAAATGAGATTCACTGTAAAGTGTAGTGACTGTGTGTTTGCAAGTGAACACTTTGAGCCGCGCACGCCATTTCGGGGCCGTGCAAGTTGAAACTATGTACTGTGTTTTAACAATAAAAATATCACGGCCCCAAGCAAGGCGTTTTCCGAATCTTTGAAAAGTTCACAGCTGGAATTTAGTTAAAATTAAGTTCAGCCCAAGAAGTTCAAAGCTTTTTTTTTTTTTGCAGTTCCACATTTTGCAATTTCTAACAGGAGTTGTTCTGTGTGGACACGTTAATAAAGGCAGGAATAGTTTATTATCCCCCACCCTTCACCGGAATATTAATTATTATCCCTATCGAATAGCGGGGCTAAAATAGAAAGAAACTGTGGAGGGTGGGGCAAAAACTGGCTGCCTGCAGGCTGATTTCAGCAAAGAGAGCAAATTGGCGAACAGTTCTCAGCTCTCGTCTGTGGAGAATCTAATTAATGACTGTAATTTTGTGTAACGTTCAGTCAGATATCGCCCACACTCTGGGCCAGAGCAGACAGCAGCTGTAACATTGACACGTCACTTGCTCTTTCTTTCTTTTAAACTAAGAGCAGCTAATAATACACCCGATGCAATCATAGTCCCCCACAGGAGTGCGTGGGTCCAGACTTGTCATCTCAAGTCTGTGCAGCTGATTCGTGAAGTGCACAAGTAGAAATGAAATAGAAAAATCAAGTTAACTTGACAACACTGAAGCTGTAGAAGTGTCAAACCAAGCACAGGCGGGGATTGGGGGGTGGGAGATTACCCCCAAAATCCTAGTGGATAGTTAGGGAAAAAAATAGAATAATTAAACGGGTGTTTAATCCCTCAAACATTCTGGATTTCTTCTTATGGAGTCACAATCTTGTGTCGTCACTTGACAAATGGATAGTGTAATATGCTTCTCTCCTCGTTCCATTTTGAGCTTCATGATGTTTGCACCAAATGCCTAATTAGGCATGGAAATACGTAAGCAAGTACATCTCTCCGGAGGAGAGAGAGTGCATATCAACCCAGACAAGGGACATTTCCACTCATAAGCAGCAAGCTAATGTGCAACTCTCAGTCTTGCGGGGTCCGGTAGCTCAGTGGTTGAGCTACAGGACTCGGGTTCGATTCCCGGGCAGGGCGAAATGTTGGGCAAGTTTCCTTACTCCACGCACCTCTGTTTATCTAGCAGTAAATAGGAACCCGGCTGTTAGTCGATTCGCGGATCGCTTTTCCGGGGGTAATAATCCTTCAAAATAAATTTTAACAGTTTAGTCATTCAATTCACGGCTGTTTGTGGGACTCTGCTGTGCACAGCACAATTGGCTGCTGTGTTTTGCCCCAAAATATAGTCCATTCACTTAAGAGTTTATTCTGTGAAGCGCTTTGAGATGTCTCAAAGATGTGATAAGGTGCTGTATCAAATGCAAGGATTACTATTATTATTATTGTTGTTTGGATCCTTTGAATCATGGCGATGGGTTTCCACGTGTGAAGATACCCGGCTGCTAAAACTCTCCTAAATAATTGGGTCAGGGGCTAATGACAGGGTGAGTTATGTTATTTATAAAGAATCGGACAGCCCTAGTGAATCCTAGAAAGACAACTGTGTCGATTAAACTTCAATGGTCAGTGTTCACAGCTGCCACTGTATGAGGTGCTACTACAAGTCAGAAACAGTTACGTGGCCATATGGGAGAGACATGCCAACTCTGAACCCACAGCGCCGAGAGAGAGAGAGCTGGCAGGAGTATTGGAAAGATGACTGCACAGAAAGGCTAGACCACTTAACTGCAATTGCCGTTTCCAGTCTCTGTGAATGCATCCTGATCTCATGTCTCCAGGAAGATTGTCTGTGAGTGCGTATTGTGGTGTGTGTGTGATCACAAACTAAAATGATAACCCCACATTTGTCATGGTTGAGGTAGTATTGATACACTAGGTTGAAAGGGAGTTAAGATAGCTTTCTGAAACAGAGTACAAAAGGGTAGATATGGGGCAGCGATGAGGAGGTTTAGGTGAAGATAAACACCAGGGCAAACACAAGTCTTTTATCCACCCAACGTGAATTCATTCACATTTGTTTGAAAATCAGTGCATTTGTTTAAAAAAAGATAAACAATGCTATTCTGGAATGTCCTCTTGCCTGGCTTCACATCGCTCCTTGTTTAATACTCGGCAATGTTATATCAGTGCAGAGTCCCAACTAGAATAACACCGCTAATTCATATTTTGGAGAAAAAATCACTTGCTGGGTTGTGACTTCAAGTGGTTTCATGGTGCATTTGTAAACCGCAAATGTCTTTCATAGAATCTTGAAAGCATGCTCCCAGGCTGATTATTCAATGAACAGTTAGCTTTTTTTTTTTGTGTGTGCACACGTGTTATAATAATACTCGCATTGATATAGCGCCTTATCACGCCTTTGAGTCGTCTCAAAGCGCTTCACATAACATACCGTAAAGTGAATTGACTTTGTTGTGGGCGAAAACACGGCAGCCAATTGTGCACAGCGGCGTCCCCACAAACAGCCGTGGATTGAGTGACCAATTTATAACCCGTCTGTTGACGAGCAACCAGGTTCCTACTAACTGCTAGGTAAATAGAGGCGTGTGGAGTAAGGAAACTTGCTCAACGTTTCGCCCCGCCCGGGAATCGAACCGAGGTCTCCCGCTTGTGAAGGCATGTGCTCCAACCACAGAGCTACAGGACTCCACCTGTGTTTGCGTGTGAGTTGCTAGTACCCATGTTGATCCTGCTGCCATTGCAAACAATGCCTCATCCCTGCCACGAGTCAGATCTCAGGGCTATAGACTACGTGCAGTAATGTGACTACACGAGAGAATGGAGTGTAACCAGGTGGGCTGGCAGATGGATGCAATCCATAAGTGCTCTCAAGTTGAACAGCTTCACACGAGCTCAATAAGGTACGCAGTGTATAAATCCAGGCTTGTTTCAAACCTGCACCTGCATTTCTTGTGCAAACAAAGCACTTTGAAACAGCAAGCCATGGTTACTTCAGCTGAAGACAGACGGTGTTCATTTCACGTTCAAGGACGGCTTCCACACCTAGTGTAATCGGGTCGCTGGCTGGCAACAAGCAGATCAAAGTAGCAGCGTCTCAGGATGCTACTGGGGGGGTAGCAGTGTCAGGACTTGAACATGCCTTCAGGTGACAATGTATCATCCTCAGGTTTTCACTGGTTTTGAAATGAATAAAAGGCCGATGTACAAACTTTGACAAGATGCTGCAGAAACAATCAACTGGGAGTAATAATCCTTGCATTTGATATAGCGCCTTGTCAAGTCTTCGAGACGTCTCAAAGCGCTTCAGACTATAATGTAAAGTGAATCGACTGTATATTTTGTGGGCGAAACGGAATTGGAATTGTTAAGTTTCAATAATTGGCTGCCACGCATCGCCCACAAAATACACGGTCAATCTGTTTAAGGCGCTGTATCAAATGCAAGGATTGCTTTTTTTTTAAAAGTCTTAAAAATAAATACAGATTCCAAAATCAGATTGAATTTAAGTATTTTCCACAAATCTGTCTGATCTTAAAACTGGACACAAAATAATTTTACGTGGTTAAGACTGGACGGAATTTCAGATCTTACTTGGTTATACCAAATAATGCAAGCATTATTAATGATGGAACCGTGAGTGAAGGAACTTGATTAGATCTCAAGTTAATTCCTCCATGACTCTCAAGGCCATTATTGCTCCTGAGAGGTAACAGATTTCTTCCTTTTTTTTGTATGGCCAGATACATCCTGTATGAATGAACAGGAAACTAAAGCTTTAACGTACAGTAGTTTCAGTTCAATGGGAGAGAAGACGGTGAGTCAAGGAAAGCAACAGCCTAATTATAAGCCTGGTACATCCCAGCCCATACCAAAGATAACGCAGGACACTCTTTACATTTACTCATATCCCTGGCTAGCCGGACTAATGGATTGTGGGTGGGTGAGGGGGAGAGAGAGAGATTCAGTCTAGCGAGCCAAAATTTCCAGCTAAGTGCAATTAAAATTGTAATGAATAATAATAATAATCCTCGATTTGCTAGAGCCTTTTCTAGATGTCTTCCATACTATACAGTGAATTGACTGTAGGTTTTGTAGCTGCAACTTGTTTGAATCCCACGAGCAGAAGATAGCAAAAACGTCTAAGTCAAAGTCAATATCCCTGGACACTGTGATGGGTAGCAAGAACAGCAAGGCTGCTCAGCGCAGTGATGCTATCCTGCACGGACGGCGCTATATACGATAACCAGGACTCTAAAACCCCTGTCTCTCTCTTTCTCTCTCTCTCTCTCCCACCCCCCCAACCGCTCCTCCCCCCCATAACACTGCCACACACACGACTCTCCTCTTGAGGTGCCATTCCAGGCACCAGCCGCCCGATTTAAGATGGGAGGCTCCATCTAGTGACCTGCAGGAGGACATACACACTGCGATGCCAGAATCAGCTAACGCACGCAATGTTGATCTGCAAATTAGCTTGAAATTAAAGCCTTCAGAAAGAGCTATACAAAGGGCCTTTTCAAGCCTCACCCTTTGGTTACCTAATCACGAGCTACTTTGCCTCAGTCAGCTGCCTTCTGCAGGACTGTGCTGCACCTTATTTAAGCCTCGACTCACCCACGAGCAAGTGGGTGCATGTCAGTCAGCCTTTCCAAGAAAGCCTACACCCACAGGAGCATTAAACAAGAGTCACTGCCACGCCAGCAGTGACGCAATCATAATTTTGCTCAACATAGAGGAGAAATCTGGGGTCTTGTTGGAGATTAGAGTCATGGTGATGATAATAATCCTTGCATTTGATATGGCGCCTGATCACATCGTTGAGACATCGCTTTGCAAGCGAGACACCGGGTTCAATTCCCGGCAGGTCAGGGCGAAACCTTGGCCAAGTTTCCTTACTCCACACGCCTCATAATAATCCCTCAAAAAAAAAAGAAAGAATTGGTCATTTCAATCCATGGTTGTTTGTGGGACGCTACTGTGCGCAATTGGCTGCCGCGTTTCGCCCACAAATATACAGTTCACTTTACAGTATATTCTGTGAAGAGCTTTGAGACGTCCCAAAGACGTGAAAAGCACTATATCAAATGCAAGGATTATTATTATTCCTCTAACATTTTCCACAGAGAGGGACGGATGTATGGAATAAAGTAATGAGGGAGGAGGTCGAGCCAGATTATATCAACAAAAATAAAGAGGGAATTATATAGCAGTCTAGAAATAACTTTGAATTAAATATGTGTGTGAGAGAGAGAGAGAGAGAGGTGGTGGGGTGCAGATTTAGTGTTTTATTTTACTTTGGGACTAGCGAGATCGACTAAACACAGCAATCGTCTTGAAATCCTGTACACTCACTCCTAGGTTTCCAGTGACCTTGAGATTTACCATTGATTGTCCTGCATGGAAGCAAGTGCTCAATCATCTTATGAGCTTTCGAGTGATTTATTATTTTTTGGTGGGGAGGGAGGGAGGGAGGGAGAAAGAGGGCAAGAAAGAAACCGGAGTGTGGATGGTATAATTCAGCGACCTCGCAACTATCAAGCGAGTGAACAGCCTCGAAAACCTACACCAAGGCTTTATATTTTTTTAAAAAGCAGCTACCATCTTTGGTACAAGTTCAGTACTGTACCAACCAGTGGAAGCTGAACCCCACCCTCCCCCAATGCAGGATGTCAAGACGTACAGCACCTCCTAAGGTTCAGAACAAAAACTTCCAGGGGCAGAAACTTTTACGCCAGCTGTCAAGATGTACCCGAGGCAGAGCTGGTTCGCGCCACTTTGGGCAAGTTAGGCCATAAGACTGGATAGGAACCGACGTTCGGGGTTGGAACAGTCTTGATGTGCTACCAGAACCAAACACGTAAAACCGCTTTCGCCCACAAACCTTTTCACCCACGAAATATACAGTCAATTCACTTTACCGTATGTCCTGTGAAGCACTTTGAGGCGTCTTCGAAGACGTGATAAGGCGCTGTATCAAATGCAAGGATTGTTATTTCGGCTTTTGGGACTCCAGAATCGCCGGAAACCACAATGCTGCATAGAAGCGGAATTAGACATCTGCCATTATTACTCGTGAACATCCAAATCGTGGGCACTCACCTTGATCAATCGGGTGCTGTGGAAGTTGGCTAAGTTGGCTGCTCACTACACCTGAGTAGGTGCGTAGAAAAGCTTCTTCACTTGGAGTAAGCTGTGAAAATAAAGAACCGGGATTTTATTCCCCAAATCACTCAAGGCAAAGAGAGACCATAAGTTACATCTGATAGCGCCTTTCGCGTCAGGAGTACATCCCAAGGCGCAAAATACTGCAAAGTGTAGTGGCTAATTATTCGCTTGGCATAACGTCTGCAGAAAACCCTCAAGCTGAGGCTGCAGCAGAGCACAAATGTTTCGCACAGCTGAAAGTGAACTCAAGGGCTTTTTTTTTTTGTCCTCCAATTCTCCTTCTCTCTTCCTCACCCCCAAATCCCGAGGCAGAGACACAGGCTTAGGCTTGGTCTTCAGTCACTTACTCTCAACTAAGCCCCACTTCAACAGCAGTGACCCAACTGCGCTTATGGCTTCGGGAAAATTAAAAGCAGATTAATTCATGGGATCCACGAAACGTTGCGAGGGGTGGGGGTGGAGGAATTAAATCTAGAGTAAATTTTGTCCAGCACTGACACCTTGATATCAGACGAGCAAACCTGGTCATTGATACCTCACCCGAGACCCGCAGTTGACTTGCTCCTGAGCCAATGCTGCTCCCAGCTGGCAGCAAGCTGGTGTGCAGGTCGATTTCCCTTCCAGGTTCCCCACCCCCAGCCATCTGTGGGTATGTGTGTTGCTGTCACTGTGTTATTCGCCTCACAAGGCACATTCACAGCCGGTTCTGTGATTATAACCACAGGACTGAGCTGCTGTGCTGCAGTACTTGCGCCCACAAAATACAGTCAATCCACTCTGATGATAATAATCCTTGCATTTGATATAGCGCCTTATCACGACTTCGAGACGTCTCAAACCGCTTCGCAGGATATACTGTAAAGTGAACTGACTGTATGTTTTGCGGGTGAAACTTTACAGTTTATCCTATGAAGCGTTTTGAGACGTCTCAATGACGTGATAAGGCGCTATTATCAAATGCCGGGATTATTATTATTGTTATTACAAACGTTTTCCCAAGGAAACGCACGGTGCAGCTTTTCCTCAGATGGATTACAGTCTCACTCACCCACCTACCAACCCGCGAACAGACAGGACCCTGAAGCCTATTCATAATAATAATTATTTATTTATATATTAATTATTATTTATGGTCAGTCAGACCCGCGATGGATGTCAGGTCAATCAGCCCCGTGTCGAAGAGGTCAATTTATCCAACGGTTTAAATTGTGCTGCAGCCCTCAGGAAAAGCAACGCAGGACCTCGCTCTCGATTGCGATGCCTGAAGGAAATGCACAGAGTCTTCCACGGCCGCCTGTCACAGCTGCTGTGACATTCTGTTCACTGGTGGTGTAAGTGCGGGTGTGGTGTGGTACAGCACACCAGCTGTAGCTGTGTTCAGGTGTCAGCTTGGCTTAGCTGGTCGCTCTCTCGCTTCGGAGACAAAGGATTGTGAGTTCCAGCCCCCACCCCTGGACTCGACAACAACGTCAGGAGGACGTCTCAAGGCGCTGGACGGTCGGGGCTTTGGAACTCAGCTCAGAGTCCAGGCTGAGGCGCCAACGCACTACACCAGAGGAGGTGCCAACCTTCAGATGAGATGTTAAACCAAGGTCTCGTCAACCTGATCGTAAGGGTTCCGGGCCAACAAGCCACCAGATAAAAATCTGATCAGGCACCTATCGTATCGCTGTTTGTAGGGCATTGCTGCTTGCAAAACAGCTGCCCCGCATTCCTACAGAAACAGTTACTACACGTGAACAGAACAAGTCCCACAAAAGAAAACTTTTTCTGCGGGGTCACTGCACCTTAAATCAACCTCAGAATAAATTCCAATTGTCCAGCGGTGAGCGCCCAGTCCCACCCAGGAGGAATCGACCGACAATACAAGGTTACACCAACGACTTGCAGTTGTGTCGCACCCTTCACACAGTGCAGCAACTTGGGAAGAGTCGAACAAAGTCGGTGCTTGATGCTGAGCTGGGAAGAAAGTGTTGCTGGCTGTAACCACAAGAAGCCAATCCAAAAGCCCAGTCGCTTTTGACGCACTAACCGTATCCCTCACACCTCCCTGCTCAAGCGCTCTGGGAACTACCCTGTGCGAGGGGCGCTATATAAATGCAAGCTCTTGCTGCTCAGGCGTCCAGCAGTTTTTGTGAAGCACTTTAAGACATTACTTTAAAGACTTTCGGCCACATAAAATACAGTCAATTCACTTTACAGTGTATTCTGCGAAGTGCTTTTGAAACGTCTCGAAGACGTGACAAGGCACTATATTGAATGCAAGGATTATTATTATTATTAGTCGACATGAAAGCCATTACACAATTGCAAGTTGTCGTTATCTTTGGTTCGAGGCTCAAAGCCTTTTGAGATCTTTTCCAAGTTTACAGCAGGGAGCTATCCGTCAAAAGAGAAGGTGTGTCTAGAATCCACAGGGCTTGATGCCCCACCGAGGAAACCAGATTTCTGGGATCATTCTCATTCCGCAGTGCAACTGTGAAATGTTTTTGCGTGAGTTATTCGGTTTCTCCGAGCCTCTGCTCAAGGTTTACCATCTAATGTTACAGGAGAGAAGCCGTGCTGTGAGGAATAGCTGTGGCTATTGGTGGCATCTGCCACTGAAACCGGCTTTCCAAATCTGAATTAGTAACAGCAATAATAATCCCTGTATCTGACACAGCGCCTTATCACGACCCAATCAAGTCCCACAATCGTCCCACAAACAACTGGGTTCCAATTTACTGCTGGGTAAATAGAGGCGTGTGTGTGGAGTAAGGAAGGTTGCCTAAGGTTTCACCTAGACTGGAAATTAAACCACTACGCTACGGGGAGTCCACTAGATAGCAAGACGACAATTTCTGCTGTTAGAGTAATTGCTTGCATTTTGAATATGACATTTACTGCAAAAAGCACCTAAAAAAAATTCACATTTCCACGGTAATTGAAGTAAATCTATTTTAACAAGATAACCACACTGACATGAACTAGCCATTGAATATATTCAAAGGGTTGGAATTTATTGGATAGCAAATGCGGTTTTTTTAAGAGAGGAGATTTATTCCTCATGTTTAAAAGAAATTGATCTTCAAAGATTAAACCCACAATATGAAGCCTGTGTTTCTTCATTCCTGTTTTCAGGGAAAATGGATGCTTTAGAACATGGCAGAGTAACATTATTTACGTGCAACAGAAGCAACAACCTGCATTTGTATAGCACCCCTCACGCAGGATAGCGTCCCAGAGCGCTTGACAGAGGGGCAGCATGACAGCGAGCCGGGGAGAAGTGACCGTAAGCACGGTCGAAATGGAAGACCCTCAGGCGCAATCTGAAGATGGGGAAGGAAGGGGCAAGGCGGGGGGACAGAGGAAGAGTGTTCCAGAGGTTTGGGGCGTAGTGGGTGAAAGCACAGCCACCGGCAGTGGACACCAAAAAACGGAATTATCTCCCCACCCTCAAGAAAAGTCCGGACTGAAGGATTTTCAATATTAACAATTTACAAATCAACCAAGGATTTAATATTGTAGAGTGACAATCACAGGACATTATGCCATTTCACCCATCAGTTCTAACATCCACTGGAGCTAAACAACTTTGATCCCAAACTCTTTATTGTTCCCTGTAAACGTGCATTCCCATTCTTCAAATGACGTCATAAGGGTATTAAGGGATATGGAGAAAAGGCAGGGAAATGAGATGATAAAATCTGCCATGATCTTAGGAAATGTCATTAGTGGTTCGACTGTATAAAGACCTCCTGTTCTTTCAGAAGATAATTACATTCAAAGACTGAACACGCAAAATGCAATCGAATTTCCTTTCGTATCTGGTTGCAATGAGATTTGGAGGGTCTATCAGAAGGGTCAGCATGGTGCGTTTCGCCCACATAATACAGTCAATCCACTTTAGAATATATTCAACGACGTGATTTGCCACTATAGCAAATGCAAGGATTATTATTATTATTTTTTGTATCTTAAAAATGTGCAAAAGGGACAAATAATGATATATAAATGCTGACTGTTGTTGAATGAAGTCCTGGAGTTTGCTCCAGGTTAGCAATCTGGTAACAAGAATCTTTCGTAATTCTATCTACTGCAGCTCATACAAGTAGACTCCCAACTCAACTGGGAAAAGGATAATACAATTTACATGGTTTGCTCAATGTAGCTTAGAGATGGGTTTGACACTGTGCTCGTAAGGAAAATATTCTGACATTTAAGCCGCTCGCATCGTGACTATTTCTAAAGGTTGGACGCAATCTTTACAATCCTCAAATAGATGGCAGCAAAGGCAGTCGTCAAAGAGAGTCACCTGCAAAATGTTCCACAACAGGAATAGCTCAGTATGAAACCTGCAGATTGCAGACATAAAGGACAACTTTAGCATTCGATCAGATCCAAAATCAAGTGAAACAATCCGGTGAAAATATTGGCACACCGGCAATTGCCAATAGTGAAGACTGAGTTAGTTCAATGTGTTTTTTTTATTGCAAAAAGTCTAAAGCATTAACAGAAACCTTGAGAATAAAAAACAACAACGATTTGTGTTTATATAGAGTCCTTCACGCAGGGCAGAGGCTCGGAGCGCTTAAGTAGAACGAGTGGAAAGAAAAACAAAATCGAGGGGAAAGAAAGTAGTTTTCACAGTTACACAGGAACATGACTAGAGAGCTGTATTGTCAGAGGTGCTGTCTTTTGGAAGTGGTGTCAATCTGAAAATCCTATCTCCAGGGCGATAATAAATAAGCTTACATTTTGATAGAGCGCCTTTCACGTCAGAAGGACGTCGCAATGTGCTTCACGGGAAATATGGTAATGAGTGACTCAAAGACCTCATGACGTTATTCAGACGTTATTTGCTCAGTGTCCTGGCCGACAATCATCATACAGATAAACTGGCAATTCTCTGTGGGACCTTTCAGTGTGCAGAATGTGTCTGTTGCATTTGCCTACAGAAACGGTCACTGCACACAGCACTAGTACCTGTGAACGTTATAAAAGGCTTGAAATATTTATGTATAAAGTGGTCAATGAGACGAAAATGTAGACTACCAATGTCTCAGTACAAACAACGTGCACAACCTTAATTCTGACAAACGGAAAGTTAGTGTGGCCCTTTTATTGGAATAAATTCACGTTCATAAACTATTTGTATAATGCCGGGAAGACATCCCAAGGAGCTGGACAGTCAGGGAATTGCAGCCTGTCTGCAAACGAATCAGATTGTTAAACACAGATCAGCATTCCTACCCAAACTGGTATGTATAACGGCTTAAAAAAAAACCTGGTCTGTGGTCCGTGCACTCTCTGTGGACAGTAACATGCGGGTGGTACTTACGTTTGATCCCATCTTTCTCAACATCAGCAGGACTCGCACTTTCTGCTGAATGTACATCTCCTCGGGAGTCTTCCCGGAGGCGCTGTCACGATTCATCTGCCCAACTCCGGTTACTCTATTATAGGAGAGAGAGAGAGATAATAATCCTTGCATTTGATACAGCGCCTCATTGCGTCTCCGAGATGTCTCAAAGCGCTTCAAGAATATACTGTAAAGCGAATTGACTATACTTTGTGGGCGAAACGCGTATTATGAAGGACACATTTTCTCCACCCATGACAGAAGTTTTGCACACTCAGTCTTGGGACTGGAGGCATCTGTGAAGAATGGCACTCGGGTTGAAGTTACTGCACAAAAACTGCAGCAAAAACCAGGGTTGAATAACTCACCATTTAGCCCTAACATAAGCTACTTGGGGTGATGTTGTGCCAGAGGGCATCCAGTACCTCGGGGGGAAAAAGAAAGGGGCGACGAGCAACAACCTTCAACCTCAGTTACGTGCATCTTAAAACCAAGACTCCAGGCAGCTCTCTGAATGCCACAAGTGTTTGGACTGCAGGCAATGCTGGAGAACAGACTTCTGGAAGACACGGTCCATACACAAAATGACTCTCTCGGGAACAGGTTTGGTTATTTTTAGAGCTTGCTATAAAACCATTCAAGCGGGGCAGTTCCTACAATTGCACTATAGAAAGCGAGCTGGAATGGTTATAGTGCAAATAAAAACCAATGGAGTATTTCCAACCCCCACAACAACCTCCAACCCGAACATTGAGGTAATAGTAATAATATAATAATAATAATCCTTTGCAGTGAATACAGCACTTTATGACATTGTTGAGATGCCTCAAAGTGCTTCACAGGATATGCTGTGAAGTGGATCGACTGTATTTTGTGGGCGAAACGCGGCAGCCAATCGCGCACAGCAGCGTCCCACAAACCGTCATAATATGGAAACGTTCATTTTATGAATTGACACGAGTAATTCTACATCAGCTGCAGGAACAATTTCATGACCCCGAAGTCCTCAATCCTGACCCATTTCTCAAAGTGCTTTCTGACCCTCGAATCATCCATGAGGAACGACAGCTCAGCTGAGGTATTGGGGGTATGGATTATTACGCTAGCGCGACAGAGAGAGAGAGAGAGAGAGAGAAAGCACCTGGGGGAGGAGAGGAGACCTGAGGGGAGAGAAATGAAGCAAAGAAGAAAGGGAGGGAATCTGGCAACGTAATCTGGCAATTTTGAAACTTGCACTGAAGTAACTTTCCTTTAATCACTACGATAATGAAAACACCTGCTTTCCCCTGAGCACTTTTTAACGTTCAATCACCCGGCACAGAGGAGTCTTATTTCAGATGTTCCTTCCTCGGGGTCGTTATTCCTCCCCTTATTTAATGGTCAGCAAAATCCCCAGCAGCTATCAGGAGCGTAGCAGGGGCTGCTGTTTTAAGAATAATATTGCGGTTAGCATTATTATTAACAGTATTCTCCTGGTATATTTTTGGTGCGATCGGGAACCTTGACCAAAAATAAGTCTAGCTCGTGACCAGCACAATTACGTCCATCGAATTGTGCGAGTACAAAGACTTGCAGTTCGAACCGATTCATATGATGTGCGATGGTACATTCATAGTACACCACGCAGGGAAAAATCCTAAGCAACACGTCACCAAATTTCCAAACCTCTCACCAATGTAAAACCGTGGGAGCCATGGAGTTGAACACGAGTCATCACAGCGTCAACTTGCAGGACTGCAGCACTCAGCAATAATAGTGCGTAGCACACACGCCTTTGGGTTGGGAGGTTTTGTGGGATCAAGCCTCAAATCGGGGTATTTTTCAAAAGCAAAGCATTGCTCCCGAGAAGCACATCTGGGCTCAACAAGAAGTGATCTCTTGAGAACTGCAGGACACCCGGGGACAGTCACCTAACAATTTCATGCAGAAAAAAAAACTTGGAAGGCCTGACCTCAACACATTGATTCCGGCTGTCACCTCCCGTCCCCGTCCCCGTCCCCCCCAAACCCTCCTGCCAGCTCAGTGTCGTGTTCTGCCACTGTCGAGGTTTCTGGGACGCTCTCCCGCGTGAGAGGCGCCACGTAAATGCAAGTCGTTGTCTTATTGCAACCCTTCCGATTAAGACCAATAATTCCTCTGTAGCTGCCCCGATCCAAGACTTCCAAGACTACCTCTCTTCTGCTTCGTGCTACACTGACAGAGCTCTGTGTCCCCCTCCCTCCCGGCCCAACACTTTGCAACTGAAGAGCCTTTGCCGTCCGCAGGCTTTTTGTTGGCGAAAAGCCCCAAACGTCATAGTGACAAAGTGGCTCGAGTGAGTTCATTTCTCAGAAGTATAACACAGTGTATGATACAGTCGTGTGTTATTTTTGGCCTCATTTGTCCAGCGCGATTCTTGCACATCACGGGCCAACCCAGCCCTCCAGTGCTAATTCACTGGAGCAAATTATAATTGATTTCATTGGCCTCAAGTTAACACGTCTGCAGCGGCGAAGTGGCCGCTGAATCTGAGAGCTCCTGGAGTACGTGCTGGTAATCCCGCGAGGCATCTTGAGCGAAAAATAAAGCACAGTTGCTTGACAGTCAGAGGCTACAGTCAACACAGTGGAAATAAACTGGAGCAGAAACGAGCGCATCAGCTTCAGAGATGTGTCCTTTGGATGAGATGTTACACAGTCTGAGCTCGGACAAGCAGTAAAGATCCCAAGACAGGTTTCGAAAACATCCGTGTACAATATAGTGTACTTCCGCGCTTTGCTGACAACAAACAATAAGTCACCAAAACCTGCTCCATGTCCTCCACCCAGCCCACCCCACCATCAGCGGCCGAGCTTTCAGCCTCTCTGCTCCCATCCTCTGCCCCAACTCCATCTCACAGTCACTTCGCCTCGCCTCCTCCCTTGCCTCCTTCGAGGCCCGTCTCAAGCGCCTCCTCTTCGACCGTGCCTTCGGTCATCCCCCTACCCCTACTCTTCCTGCCCTGAACCCCACCTGATCCCAACCCCCAGGCTCGGGTCCAAATCCCTGACTGTCCAGTGCCTTGGGACGCCCTCCCGACGTGAAAGGCGCCGTGTAAATGTCATCCGGTGTTGTTAATCTCATTCCGTAAAACACTTAAGAACGCGCCTACTCCTGCAATAGCTGCTACAGGAAAGCAAGCTGGTGTTACAACGATTACCCTGGCTGGCTGACCCCTCGCTCCGAAGGCAGTGGTACCGTACACTTCGGTATGGAAATGAGAAATCAATACCTATTTGTGCCGCTTTCTCATCCACTGCTCAGATATCTAACGCTAACGCTGCTACAACCACATCAACATAGATCACAGTCAGTCCAGGCAACTGCACTAATAGGCAAAGATGCTTATCGTTTTTTTGTCTCCACGTGATAACTGGTAAGTAAAAACAGGAAGATCTTGCATTACACTGTCCGCAGTCTGGCTGTCCAGAAATAATGGCTTCTAGTCTCCTTCAGGAGCAGAGGGAAGAAGGAACAAGGTCTCCCAGTCTCACATGAATGCCAAAATGCCTTGTAGGTTGCCAATAACCCTCAAGGTTGCCAGTTTCCCAACATATTCTAAACACTTAAAAACACAACAGCACTTTACAACAACAACAACAACAACTTGCATTTATATAACAGCTTTCACTCCGGACGGAGTCTCGGAGGGCTTTGAAGATCCAATAGTAAAACCATGAACTGTAAAGTAAATGCCTCCGAACATGGGGTCTCGAGATATTCCGCATACGTAACATAACGGGTTCTGTGCCAAATCAATTCAGTACAACATTTACGATCCAAACTCTGAAGCGGCTCCGCTAACCTTTGTTGGGGGAACACAGTCTGAGCACTGCATTTTCACTCAACTCCCCCCCCCGCCCCCTCGCCCCCTCGATTCCCTCCTCTCCTGAAAGTGCTAATTCATGCTGAGGTTCCAATAGAGACCCTCCACTCACAGGGCCACTTTACCTTCTAAGTTTAGACAGTCTGCACGTATGGCGAGGAAACCAATCTGAGCACAAATACTGCCAATCCTGTCCTCGCCCACGGACTTTCCAGTCAGGGCTGCTACTGCGTATAATCAGCCTCACCCTGTTTCTTTCTCCTCCTCCCCTTAACCCAGGTCCATTATATCAATCAGTCTCGTCACAGCAAAGATTAAACTCCCACAGTGACACTGAGCCAAGTAGTTTTCCCCTTCGTCCGTCCCTTAGACGAGTTTGTAAGGTTAGAGCTAACAACGGAGTTGTAATGTAAGCTCAGCACTTTGAATCCACGGGGAACAGGTATATTCGAAGGTGAAGATAGGAAATGTTCAGGCCCTGAAAACCGTGGTGGTGGAACCGGTCGGGATTTTTAAAGGAGAAACAGACAAATGCTTGAGATATTAAAATGGTGAAAGGGCAGGTTATTGGGATTAATAAGATCAGAAACTGGAAGAACATTGGCTGAATGGCCTCCTACTATTCCTGTTTTCCTGCATTCCTGTAATATTGCAGGCTCTCACTGAGTGGATTAACCGGCAGAATTTCTGCGCGTGTTAAAGATGTATGAGGCTGCTCGTGTTTTCAAACCCTCAGCATCCATCACAGGAGACGAGAGCAGAGGGTGGGGCGGGGAAGAAAGAAAAGACGTTCAGTCTCGGAGTCTAAGTCAGGCTTTACTAGTGTTGGTGTATCTGAAGGTGAAAGACAGCCCTGGGATATTTCCATTTTACACTGGAACATAATCGGAATATAGACATCAATACAATGTACAGCACAGCTACAGGATCTCAGTACAGTCACTCCTGGCACTGTGTCTCGGACAGACAATACAATGCAGCACTATGGAGATGGGAGCTAAGGTTATTAGCTTCGTAACAGTTTTTAGGCATCCTTCGAAAGTGTCGTGGACTGTTAAATAAAGACAGCCCTGGAAAAACACAGCCAATATAATTATAATAATAATCCTTGCATTCAATACAGATGCCTGATCACGTGGTCGCGACGCCTCGCAGCGCATCACAGGATATACTGTGAAGTGGATCGACTGTGTGTGTATTTTGTGGGTGAATTGCAATAACTGGCGTTTATATAGTGGCCTTCACGCCAGATGGCATCTCGGAGCGCTTAATTAAACAAATATATACATACAGTGCCAGTCAAGAGTCGAAGATAAAGCCATGAAAACAAATCTCTGCTTCAGCTTTACGCTGGGATCGAAAATGTCCGATGACCTTATGAAGACGAGCAGCTGCAAACGCAGTTGACACCACCCCAGGGGATCGGGAAAAGCCAGTTCTCTAATGGCTAACCATTTCAAGGGCGAGAACGGCAGAATCGCAGCATATTACAGCACGGAAACAGGGCAGCGAGTCAGCGCTGCCGTTTTTCACCACAAAAGACACCTCCCAAACCTAGTCCCGCGCTCCTGCTCGCTCCCCGATACCTTTTCTTCTTGAACCCCTTTTATCTTGAACCTTCTTTCAAAGGAAATGTTCGGCTCTGTCTCAGCGACGGCTTGTGGCAGCGAATTCCACATTCCAGCCGTGCTCTATGCAAACAATCTCCACCCCCACTCCCCCCCCACCACCCCTCCCCTTCAATTTCCTTCCATGACCAGCATGGATTTTTTTTAAGGACTCTGACCAGTGGAAATAATCTATTAGGATTTGCCCTACCTTAACCCTCCATGGGCCTGAAGACCATCACCTGTCAGTTTATTCCTTATCCTTCTCCACTGCAGAGATGCAGCAGCCATTGGAGATGGATATTTTACAAGGTTCGAGCGTGGGGCCCAGGTACAAAGCCAAGAGGTAAATACACCCGCCTGAACTTTGCCATCCCCTTTTTGCCATTAAAGAGGGGTAAAAAGGGGTGGAAAAGTTCAGGAGGATGTATTAAAGAAACGCTGTCGAAAGCACCTCTGTGTTGTAGTGCATACTACATTATTAAATATTTATAATATATTATGTATTTATATTAAATATTATACATTTAAATTATTAAATATTACACATTTGTATCAGATATACATTTACGTTTGGTTTCAGCCACAAAATATACAGTGAATTTACTTTACAGTATATTCTGTGAAGCGCTTTGAGACGTCTCGAAGATGTGAAAAAGGAGCTATATCAAACGCAAGGAATGTTATTATTATTTATAATATATATTTATATTGTTAAAGGATTATTATTATAATTATTATCACATGAGCTGATAACTGGCAAATGAAGTCTAATACAGATAAAAGCTGAGCTACATTTCTGCCTTTTTCCTGGATTTTTATAAGAAAAAATTAATCAGTGGTACCAAATGATCAATTGGTGAAAAATTGGAGGAATGAGTTAATGCACTGTATAGAAATACCATAACCACTCAAATACCTGGCTGTGGCGTATATTAATTTGGTTTGTTCAAATGTCCCCCCCCCCCCCCCGCGTAATGGTCGAAATTTCCTGCGTTCAGATCAAACATCAGGAAGGAGCTTAACAATGAAAGGGGGTCAGTGCTTAAAAGGTTAAGGACACTTCCAGAACTCGACTGATGCAGTCAAGTTACTGACCTGAGGACAGTCAGCGATCTGCCTCAGTTACACCCACAGGATGCAATGATTATAAAGTGGAACTGAGGGCTGATCATGGACATCACTGAACACAAGCCCTTTGGCAAAGTCACTGCCTCATGCGAACTGCGGGCTTGAGTGCTTCCAGGTTCAACCAGGTTGACATGAGCACAGTTAAGTATATAACATATATATGTGTGTGTGTGTTTGTGTGTTAATTTGAATCCCACGATTCACACGTTAAATGTTCAGCAGTCGCCGAGCAAAGTAATTCTCACAAAAGCTAAATGGGAGAGTGGTGGAGCGGAGAGGGGGGAAGAATCATTTTAAATACAACGTATATTTTGGTATTTAATGTCGAGAGGATGTCTCAAAGATCGCCGAGCCTCAGTAACAGATTACAGGCTGGTTTTTGTGAGTTCATCATTACCTCCTCTTCCTCTCTCTCTCCCCCCCCCCCTTCACCTCCCACACATGCTACCCCCACCTCCTCACTGTTTGCTTTCCACTAGGATTTCCTCTCCATGAAATCTGACATATTTTTACGCGGACATCACAGGGAGTGTGGTTTAGTGTAAGGATGTGTGGCTTCCACAAAGTACAATGGAGCATTCAGCTTCCCCGCAGATGCTTGCCGAGCGATGTCTAATTAAAGCGACAGTGGAACTTATTCCCCATTGTCTCAGACACACGTGTGAGTGCCGTGCGGGTTTAAAAAGCGCGTGTAAATAAATAAATGGGAGGCCTTTGCACCAGTAAACCTCGTAACAACAGATTCCTCAAAGCACTCAAACGTTTCTATTTATATATGTATAAATTATATATATGTGTGTGTATATATATCTGGCAGGGTTCATTTCCTATCTCGTTTCGGCCTTCGTTATATTTTCCCTCGTTAATGAGCGCTACTGCAAGCTGCTCTGCCAGAACCAGGGCAGTTTAATTTAGGTCGTCTCTCGCACAGAAGGTTGCAGGATCCATTCTCAGTGGGTGCTGAGCGAGCCCGGGGGCGCCGCGCAACCGGCCTCGGTGCTCCCGGGTTAAGGAGGGGGAACAAATCCCACAACCCGGCTGGAGAATTTCAGAAGCTTTGCTCGACAGCAAAATCCAGCGATAGAACGTTCTCTGCGCCACCTTCCCACGTAGAAGCGTCTCAAAATGCTTCACAGGTAATGACTGTCGAGTGAAGTGACCGTTCTCGAAGGCAAACCCAGCAGTCGTTTACACACAAGGTGACTGACTGATTAATCTGGGGGACAACCAACCGGGAGAAATTCCCTTCTCTATTTGAATCGGGCTTTGGGATATTTAACATCCACCCGAACAAGTCGATGGTGGCCTCAGTTTAACACTTCATCCGCAAGATGACACCTCCGACAATGCAGCCAACGATTTGTCCCCTTATCCCCCAGCACTGTTCTGGATTGTCAGCTCAGACCACAGACGTGAATCCACAACCTTCTTACCCGGAGATTTTGCTACCAATTTTAACCAGAATGACACACTGACGTCGAAAGAAGAGAATCACCGGTCTTGTCTGCTCGTTCCTAAGGTTTTCAGGACACGCACAAATCCTCACGCGAACTTTCGATCGTGCAACACACGTGATAATTGTGCTACTTCACCCCCACCTCGCCCACAAAGTACAGCCAATTCACTTTACACTGTATTATGCGGAGCGTTTTGAGACGTCTCGAGCACGCGATGGGGCTCTATATCAGATGCAAGGATTATTGTTAATTATCTCATCCGCTGGCTCACCCACCACCCCACAGGGAATCAATTTGAAGATTCTCCCTGAAAATCCCTCCATGTTCTTGCCCGCCCGCCCTGTCTCTGAAGCCTCCTCCAGCTCACACCTCTCTGCTCCCCAAACTCACGCCGCCCACACATCCCTCGTCACCTCCGCCTCACCACCATGGCCAAGCCTTCGAGCCCCCAATTTGCTGAACCCCCTTCCCCAAATCCCATCCCTTTGTCTCGTCGCTGCTCTTCCTGCTTTCAAAACCCTCCTAAAAACCTCTCTCTTTTGACCACGCTTTCCTCCCCCCCCCCACCCCCCACCCCACCCCGTCACCAGTCTGAGACGTTATCCGACACAAAGGGTCCCGTTTGAGCACAAGTTGTTGTTTTTGCTACGCCCATTCTACAACGGAGAACAAAAGGGCATTGCCTGGAAGACAGTTCAGCCGCGTCTGATCAGAGACTAAACCCGGGGAGAACTCTCGACCTGACGGGCATCATTAGCTCCGAAAAACATCACCGCCGAGGAAAGCACTTCACAATCCGTGTTCAGGGCAGCGCGACGCAGTGCGAGTGGCTGATGCTGTCCCCCCCAACGGACAGCGCTCGAACACTTAGTGCTGCATTTGAAATGACGAGTTGGAAACAGCATCAGAGATTTCGCACGAAGCAATAACGGCGGTAATTAATCCTTGCAATCGGTACAGCGCCTTTTACATCGGGAGGACATCTCCAAGTGCTTCCACTTTCCTGTAAAGTGGAGTAACTGTGCATTTCGAGGGCAGGCCAACTTGCTGCCACCAATGTCCCACGACATTGGATCCCAGTCGGATTGTTGGTTCTTTTCCGTTCATAACCGGTTGCCGCATTTTTTCCTACAGTCGCTCCACCCGACAGTAATTACTGGGAAGCGCTTTGTCACACGGTGACATTATTTTTTCCCCACAAATACACACTTTACAGCGTATTCTGTGAAGCGCTTTAACAAGGCGCTACATCAAGTGCAACGATTATTATTACTATTATTATTATTACCATTACAGCTATATTTAAAAAAAACACCAAGTTCTTCGCGCGGAACCCGTGAAATTAGCAAAAGACGGCGAAACCTGACCCCCAAAAAACCCCATAAAACACTCGAGTGTAAACTTGCCCATAAAACTCATTCAGCCGCGTGAAGTCTGGAAAGGGAGAGAGGGCGAAGGAATGGAGAGAAACCGAGCGTTTCGCTGTGATTGAAAATGCTATTCGCGGCCACAACTTACCAATTGGCGGAAAAACGGACACCCACACAGGGAAAATAGTTGGGGAGTGTGTGGGTGGATTTGGGGCGGAGGAAGGAATATAAAAATCACACCATCGAATCAAAAATAAAGAGTTTTTTGTGAAACAATGGGGGAAGTGATTTGATATATTTTTTTACCCCCATTAGAAAAAAAGGAGGGAAAAAAATTGCATTTAGGATCAAATAATATTAATAATAATATATAATTATATTAATATATTTAATCCTAAATGCAAATGTTCTTCCGGGGGGGGGGGGGGGGGGGGTTAAAAAAAGGAGAGAAGGGGCAGTATAATGAGGATTAACAGCAATAAAATGCAGATAAAAGTTTTTTTTATGTTAACTGAACATTTTCAGAGAGAGAGTAAAAGGGGGGGCGGGGGGGGGGGTGAGAGGGGGGAGGGGGAGTGAGAGAGAAAGGGGGAGTGAGAGAGAGGGGGGAGTGAGAGAGGGGGGGGAGTGAGGGGGGGGAGTGAGAGAGGGGAGGAGGGGAGTGAGAGAGAGGGGGAGTGAGAGAGGGGGAGGGGGGGAGTGAGAGAGAGGGGGAGTGAGAGAGAGGGGGAGTGAGAGAGAGGGGGAGTGAGAGGAGAGGGGGGGGGGGGGGAGTGAGAGAGAGGGGGGAGTGAGAGGGGGAGTGAGAGGGGGGAGTGAGAGAGGGGGGAGTGAGAGAGAGGGGGAGTGAGGGGGGGGGGGAGTGAGAGGGGGAGTGAGGGGGGGGGGGGAGGAGAGAGGGGGAGTGAGAGAGGGGGAGTGAGAGAGGGGGAGTGAGAGAGGGGGGAGGAGAGAGGGGGGGAGTGAGAGGGGGGGGGAGAGAGAGGGGGGAGTGAGAGAGAGGGGGGAGTAGAGAGGGGGGAGTGAGGAGAGGGGGGAGGAGGGGGGAGTGAGAGAGAGGGGGGGAGTGAGAGAGAGAGAGGGAGTGAGGGAGAGGGGGAGTGTGAGAGGGGGAGAGAGAGAGAGAGGGGGGAGTGAGAGAGA